TGTGGTCCATGAATGTGAATTGTAATTCCACCAGATTTGGTTCGGCGAGACCTCTCGCCCATTTTAATTGATTTCTCAAAATACTGATCACTCACAATATCAATTCTTGCCACAGACTTTGATGTTACCAGAATATAATCAAATAATTTATCTCCATACTCTCCGAATGATTGGCAAGAATGTGCAAGTTGTCCTGTGCTTTGAATGACGGCCAAAAGGTCGAAGGAAACACATCACTTACATTTGTCAGAGATAGAAATTGTGTTGCTAGCATGTACATTTGCAAATTGTTCAATCTCATGTAAAAGATTTGCTTTCTGGGTCTTACGTAGTGTCCCATCAGATGTAGCAATTGACAGAGGTATATTGGCTAGTTCATACTTGAAAAGTTCTTTCAGACTGAATTTCCGACTTTGAGCAATGACTACAAGTCTGGAAAATAGTTCTCTATCTGCAAGGGTCACATTTTGAGTAGACGATTTTTTGGACAATGGACCTTTCTTCAGGCTTGCAAAGGTATGTATTTTATTGTGTTTAATCTTGTCAAAGAACATCTGTCCTTGGGCAAGACGATTCTGTACAAAGTTACAAAGAGCTTCTTCACCTAGGGTGCAAGATCCTAGGAGGCATTCTGAATCTTTTTCAGACAACTGACAACCTGAGGCAATGTTTGAAAGTGGGGATGGGTCATCAATGGAAAATGGATTTACCCACTCTTCAAACTGGTTATATATCTTGCAGACAATATCATTATCTCGAGCTATTGTATTTTTGTGTAGATCTTTATTGTTTGAATTTGCGTCATCATTCATTTCAAGAACTGTTCTAAGATGGCAAAGAAGATCAGCTCTGTAGTGTGCAGTAAGTATCCAGCGATGAACACTTTCTGCCTTGTTTGAAAATCCAACAATACCACCACTCGTTTTGCTATCTCTGTTCAATGTCTGTTCCAGTGTCTGGTCAACTGGTATTTGTGCAAACTTTTGGCTGGATCTTGCAACTACAAAGTCGCCATTTATAAAATGTTCATGGACACCAGGTGCTCTATCTTCAAGCTCCAACATTTGTACATAATGGAGAGTAGCATATCGTGAATAATTATGTCTAACAAATGCAAAAAAGTATGGTAACATTGATCTCAGAGATGACAGATGCATATTCTAATTTCCTTCTCGCTCAGCTCTAATGAATGCTAAAAGAATGTCAACCATTTGAACATACTCGAATCAGAATAAAAACATTTGTGACTGGAATGATTTATCCTTAACGGTAGCATCTCTCAACTGCAAAAGAGAACCCAGAAGTTTAGTTAAGTCTTTAACTGCATTGGGTATATCAGACCTGATATCATCTTGAAACAAGTCACGAACAACAGTAACTGCAGATCTTATAGACTGCCTGTAATTTTCATAAAGATCTTCATACGGTAAATTGTTATGCAATAATCTTTCAAGGGCCTCTAACACCAACTTATGAGCCCGCACAGCTCTAGTATAAGATCTTCCAGTCATGATACCTGGGACTGATCCTTCTGCAAATGCTCCACTTTCCACCAACAGATCTTCAAAGCCACTACATTCCATTCGTTTACCAAGTACAGCGAGGAATGCAAGCAATACATGAAATGAGCCCATTCTCAATACAACATTTTGAAATTCATTTTTCTTTTCAAGAACTACATCCATGGCTTTACAGTAAATTGCTTGGTCTACTAAAACTAATATAGTTTGTGTCTGTCCAACACATCTAGTAATTTTATCAGCTATGTCCAGCACTGTGTACACAACATCATACTGTGTTGGCGATGCATTGATCACAGGGCAATAACCTATGACAGATAACACTGGCGAGTGCGAGGAAGCTATCATGTTAAAGCCAGTCCATCCAGGAATATATTGCTGTTCACTCATATTTACATCACCATCTGTTTCAAGTGTTATTAGTTTAGTAGGTAGTGCTCTACACAGGATCCATGCTTCATCTAGGGATAATTTCTCAGGATGCATGGTTCTGGACAACCAGGTTAAATGTTTAGACTGTAGCACTGGACATGGTCGTGTTCGTGGTGGTAAATACATTTTCACATTAGGTTCTTTGACTGTAATATAATGGATTATTGCTCTTTCGCTGTATTACTATCATATTGGTACAGAGTGTGGTATTTTTACCGTCCACAGTCTCCTCTGTGAAGTCATTGTTGTCTGCAGCGATTTGTGTGAACACATCAGCCTGTACATTGGAAGGAACAATTACTTCTTCTTCAGTTACCTGTTGTTCTGCCATAGAAGTTTCGATTCGAAGCAATTGGTCATATGATACACAATGTCCAAGCCTATTCAGCAATGTAATAAGTTCTCGGCTTCGGGTTATGTGGTGGATGGCATTAGCAACTGCAGTATGTTTTGAGGTATGTTTGCGACCATTAGATGTCACATAGACTAGGTCTTGACCAATGGCAAGAACACGCTTATAGCGATCGTCAGCTGCAGAAATCGGAGGGTCCATCAAGTTGGAATTACTAGTTCCTGTGACCAGCCACTGAAGAAAGAGCAAAAGGCAAGATCCTACTTGGTTCTCCATTTCAGAAACATTAATATCTTCTGGATCTGGTGGTATGTTCTGTAAGCCTTTTACCTCTTTTATTTCTGCATTCAGAATAAGTGCTGCTCTAATAAGAACAGCAGTCTTGTCATCAATGTCAAGCACTGGTGCATCAACATTTAACACTGCATCTGCAGTAACCTCTGTTAAGGACTCTACAGCCCTTCCGGTGATACTGTCACTGGCAAAAACAAGCTCACTTTTGTTTCTTGATTCAGGTCTGTGGAAGGAAATTAGTGTACCATAATGCTGTAGAAGACGCTCCTTTACTCTACCAGACCTGTAGTTGTGTGCTTCCACATTAAATGTGCATAGGATTTGTCGATACCTATCTCGTATATTTGTCAGTTCATATATATGGTGCAGCTGAAAAAGTCCAACATCAATTTCGAATAGCAGCATACTAAATGCTTTGCTGTACTCATTTCTTGTTTCACCATCAGAACTTTTGATGCGAGCAAGGTGATCTGTAGATGTAAAAGTTTGATAACATTTCTTATGGTACTTTCCCTCATATGCTATAAGATCATAATCTCCTAGTCGATGCTTAACAATTTCATCATTCCGTAGCTCAGCAGCATTTCGTAGCTTTTCTCCTGCCTGGTTAGTCAGAATCTGACAAAGTGTCTTTCCTGACTTTCCACAAATCAAACAGTTTTGCCACTTAGGGTCAGATTCTAGAGCAGATCGAGTGAACCTAACTGGATTATGTCCACTTGAACTCGGTTGAAGGAGATGAGACTGTTTCTGCTTAATGCGATTGAGCTTTTCTTGACTTGTGAATGTTGAGTAACAATCTTTGTGCCATTTTGCCCCATATTCAAGAAGATTGTCAATATCTTGTTCCAAACGCTTTGATGGCTCTTCATCACACCTGATTTCTATGGCAGCTTTTACCCTTTTCACACCGTAAATAGTACCACATCGTAAGGTTTTACTTTTACCTTGACAAAAAATACATCTTGACCAATCTGTTGACTTTCTAGCTTTTTTAGCAGGGGGAGCTTGTTCTATTGGTGCGAGTCCCTCCATCTTGTTGGTAATTCACAGACTGTATGGTAATTTTCAGAGGTTTCTGAAGACCTGACAAAGCAGAAATAGTGTAATATGTTTTAGGACATTCTTCTTCGTTTGCAGCATTGTAAAAACATTGTTATCTTCAATGCTAACTGTAAATGTGTATCTAATATATAAAGATTGTGAACAGTTCATTGTTTCAATAGAAATAAATACCTACCTGGTATACAGAAAATCATCTACAATATACTTCTATTGTCTTTGTGTATTCACTGAAAATCCAGCTAACTGGGAAATGGTGAGATTTCTTGTTGGATGAGTATTATCAAGGGTAGATAACAAAAGCAACTGAATGTAAAGCAACTGAACAATCTTGGCAATTATCAACCCTGTTGGTAGAAATCCTCATGAATCACATTAAATGGCAAAATGTATAGTTTAAATATTGTGCAAAAATATGGACCTTGTTTAGGTTAAAGAAACAAAATCTCCTCGAGCGAAAAATTATATTAATCGCAATTTTGTTCAAACGCGCGTATCTGCGTCCCTTCGCGTACTCATTAGAATTACGTTCCACATATTTAAATCTACGAGATGAGATTTGCATGGGATCTTGGCTTCATGACTATACACAAGGCTGTGTATCTCACTGACCCCAAGTTATCCACTCCCTGGTATTGATAATGTCTTTGACAATGCTCGAAAATGTAGCTGCAGTTCTGTAGCTCTGGATTTCGCTGGTGTCCGTTTTTGGCGTTTTCTGTTGCATCGGTAGTCTGATTCGGTCGTCTATTGGTAATTGCGAAACCCTAGAGCTACAGTACGAGACGTAGTCAGTTACCATACCGGACGACACAAATCCGTGTCGGCCAGGTTATTGACACTTTATTAGCAAAATTGGCTGTCTACGCTCACCTGTGTATGATCGATCGTTATCTAAACACATTTGACAACTATTCTGATTTGGATGTTCTAAATTACCGACGTTATCTACTAAAATCAGACGAATACCGGCGAAAACCCACTATTTACGCTTCAAGGTCAGCCATCTTGGAAATTTTGACCCGTGACGTCACGGCGCGTCATAGTCTCGCAATTTCACGAATAAGCCACTCGATTGGAGTTGTGTTGAGATTTAATGAATATTATGGATGAAAACAACCACAAATATATATGCAATGTATAAAAAAAATCGAAACATGGTATCAGAAATAAAATAACATAATATAAATTAATAATTGTATTATTTTAATTATTTATTTTGAAAAAAAAAATGATAATAATAAAAATGAATTGTGGGTATTTTCTCACACAAGCCAGTGTTGTACAATAAAATGAGTTCATACACAACAGAAGTTGTGAGGCAGTTGTTTGGCGTTAAGATGGAAACCTTATTAGGTTATGAGTTGAAGAAGGACCAACTGGAGCTCATAACAAATATTATGAATAAAAGGCATACCATGGGCATATTGCCTACAGGTTTTGGTAAATCTGATGTATACATCACCCCGCCTTTATTGTTGGACCAAGCAGAGCCTGGTATTCACCACATATCCCTGGTTGTGAGTCCACTAAAAAGTTTGGTTATGGATCAAGTGGCCAACTGGTCATTAAAAGGAATAAAATGTGCTGGCATTGTAAACAGAGATGAAATGGAGGTGGAGACCATTGAGGGTGAGTTTATTTATTTTTGCTCTCAAAATAAAAATTAACCAGAAATAAAGTTTTTTTTATAGAAGTAGCTCATAATAAAAATAATAATAACTTTGTTACACAACCAAAAAATAAAATATCTTTTATCAAAAGTGACTCAAATTTTTTTCTATTATTTTTTAAGGTCTGAAAAGAGGAAGATACAGTGTAATTTTTATGTCACCAGAGAGTGTTTTGGAAATAGATGACTGGTCATTTATTTTAGAATCAGAAATATACACGAAAGGCGTATGTCTTGTAGCACTGGATGAGGCTCATGTTATTTGCACATGGTAATAAATTTAGTTAGTGAATTTATTTTACACATCCATATTTTATACAGAATTAAACTTATCCTATGACATTCCTAAGTTACTATAAATTCAGGTAAAAGTAATGGCAAAAATTAGTTTATAATACAAGAAATCGTTGTTATGATGTCATGTCCATGTTATTAGCTCAAAAGCTTATAGAAAGTTTATGGAATTAACCATGTTTGTCCCTGCATGAACACAGATGTCTTTTAAAGAGGAAAGTTTCAATTCCATTGCACTTGATGTTTATTTCTATGGGAGTGGCAGTCTCTTGTTTTCTATTGTTATGGTAATCTCATTGCCATATTTACTTCAAGATAAATCCAATTAAATAATTTCCCCTTTTGTTAGTATCTCGGACACTGCTGATCCAATTTAGCTGAACTTTGGTACACATGTACAGTTGAATAGACTGAAGAGGAATTATAATTCTGTAACATTAATTAGGTTACTGATCAATTAATTTTTTGTTAATATCTTATGAACTAATAGTCGAAATGACTCCAAACTTAGTATAAACAAACTTTATATTTTCTTACCAGGTGTGCACTATGCAGCTTAATTAACAATCTCATTTGCATATTTAATTAATTTTGAATTTTTATTGATATCTGTGAACTTGGTTTTAGCATACTTTATATTTCCATATAAGATATGCACTATTGAGATGCAACTTAATTAATTAGCTTATTTGCATATTTAATTAAACTTCTATCGGTAGTGTTATTGACTAAACATGGTATAAGCATACTTATACATTTCCATATGAGCTTTGCACCATGCATGCCATATAGAGTTTCAATTCAATTAACGGGTTCTTTTGCATATTTTATTATTTTGATTTATATATCTCGTGAACTGTTAGTCCAAATGTGACAAAATTTTTAATAGCGACGTAGTGTTTAGCTATAAGAAATGTACTCTTGATTTTTAATTTAATCAATGTGCTCATTAGCATATTGATTTTTGAATTTTTGTTGATATTTTGTGAACTGTTAGTTTAAATGTGACTAAAAAACATACTGTGTATTAATCTATGAGGAATGCACTATCGAGTTCCACTTAATGAGTCGCTTTGCAGGTTTAACTGATATTTAAGTTTTGTTAGTATCTTATAAACTACTGAAATTTATTGTGACTGAACTTGGCAGGTGATGGGTATAATATGTAGTTATGAGTTGCCACCTAATTAATAGCTCATTTACATATTTAATTGTGTTTTTATCTCCCTCATACATGGGAGCATTTTTTTCATTGTACATTGCATTGAACAAATTTATATTGTTGCATACAAATATTTATACTTGATTCTAGATTATGTTAAATGAGTTTGGTAACTACCCTGGTCATATTACAAAAAAAAGGAACACAAAAACCAATGTTGAATTTGTGAATCTGTGTTCTTATTTTCAAAAATATGCTATGCCTTTCATTTGATACATGCTTATATCATATATTCATGGAAGTTTCATAATACCTGTAGGGGAGAAACTTTTAGGCCTGTTTACAAGCGAGTTGGAGATTTCCGAGGCCATTTCACAGGAGCAAGTTTGGCCATATTGAGTGCTACATGCACAGATAAAGTACAGAAGATTATTTTAAACACCTTGCATTTAGAAGACAAAGAAGTTTTTACAATAGCTAGGCATCCTGACAGGTAAATAACTACAATATTACATAATGTTGATCTTTATTTTAGAATAGTTAAAATGTTTAATGTAAGAAAATGTCATTTTATATAGGCCTAATATTTATTTACCAATGAAGAGTCAGCCAGGAATGAAGTTTTTAGAGGATGTTAGGTGGTATATTGATGAAATTAAATTAATGGGGAAAAATGCAAGAAAAGCAATTATATACATGAGGTCTGTATTTTTAATTAATCTATGTTGCATATAATCAAATATTCGGTAACAAAAGATAAAAGTTTCTCTCACGAACAAATTTTTATTAGTCTTTGAAGTAAATATTTTTGTAAACTAATTAATTTTATGCTAATAAATGTTTTGTTTTCACATATATTATATTGCATGCTTGTTCTTTTGTTATGTTTCTGTATATACATTTACACTGTAATTGGAGTAAAAAAAAATAATTACATGTTCTGACATTATTGGAAATGTACTGCATTGTCACTCTGCACAAAACCATGAACATTTTTACAAAAAAAATAAATTAACTTGGAGGTTTCCTGTTAAGACTATAGCACAATTAGATGCCATTTGAAAGACAACACTTTTTAAGAGTTTATTTTATCCGTACATGATTTACTAATAAACTACAAACACAGTGTAATCAAAATATTAACTTTGAAGTTTTACATGTATATTGCTGCATCAGTAAATACTGTAAAATACTTAAATTTAGCTGGAATTAATTTTCCCTGAAAAGACTTTTTGGATGTTTTGTATGGCATTTTTTTCACTGATTTTTGGTGATTTGAATGTAAAATAAAGGAAAAAAAGGTATATTCACTGAATCACTCCTTCAGCGGAAATAGTGAAAATTAAATCCAACCGAAAATAAAGTATTTTACAGTATACTGATAAGTGTGGCATTAACAGGCTAAAATATAATGTATAGCCCTTAATTGCCAGAGTGGGTATTCACAATATGGACTAGACCAGGTCTAAATATTTCATCTTCTGTTTACCTCCTCTCAGCGAATTATACATGATTATTATCAGAAATTAAAAATAACTTTATTAGAAGTACATCATCAGTAGAAGTACATCCAAAATGATATTTTTTGTAAAACTTGATCACTTAAAGGGCAATACTAGTCATCATACTGTGCTTGAGCAAGGTCAAACTCCATGCAGTTTGTTGACAACACACCCCATGATGCAATGTTTACATTAGCAATACAAATACAACTGTGACTGAAAGAGAGCTTCCATAAAGTTAAAGAAATAAGGGAAATGTGCTTGCTTGGTTCAATTTTTGTAAGAAAAGTGATGTGTTAACGGTAAATCATAAATTGTTTATTAACACAAACGATGCACATGAGCAGTGCGATGACTATCACTTTTTAATTAAAGTATGACGTTTTGATTTCATAGTATTACATGGTTACAATGTATTATATAAGCAAATGTTCTACTAACAGTATAAATTAATTTAATGTCAAATTTAACACTACTGTGTTGTCAATACAAATTCCAGAACTCAAACCCAAACTGGTAGACAGTGGAGTAATATCATGAATTACTTGGGCAACCATGCATACATTGACCAGAAAAAAAATGTAAGATGTAGAATGGTCGATGTCTTTCATGCCAATGTGGAATTAGAGGACCAGAAAAGAGTACTGGAGAACTTTGCTCTATCAGACAGCACAATCAGATGCGTTGTTGCTACTGTTGCATTTGGCATGGGGATCAATATCCCAGATGTCGATTTGGTACTGCACTGGGGAGGGAGCAATAATATTTTGCAATATTGGCAAGAAGTTGGGCGATGTGGGAGAGATGTCACAAGGAAGGGTGAGGCTTACTGTTATGCAGTTAAAACCGATATTGTAAGGTGTGACGAAGATATGAAGAAACTTTGCAATAACTTGAATACAGGCAAAATGAAGTGTCTCAGAATTGCAATTCTTCAAGAGCTGACAATACCTGAAATGGATGCAGAATACCTGAAGGGTCTCACTAACCGAGATAGGTGTACACAAGCATGTGGGGAAAAATGTACATGTCATCACTGTGTATGTTGCTGTATCTGTAGAGGAGCCTGTCCATGCCAACATTTATCAGCTGGAGTATAGCCATACAACCCCTTCACACTAATCCAAACTTCATTACAACATATATTGACCACATGCATTATCTAATATTGATACATTTGAGTGTAATAATGACACTGATTTGCAGAAATAAACAACTCAACTTTCCATCCTTTTCAAAACATATTGTAAGGTCTGAACATTGCTACCCAAATCTGCATATTTATCATTCTTGTAGAAGAATGGCAGGACTTACAATGGGCCATACTAGTTTATATCTGCACCCTTTGTTGATGAGGCAGAATTTTCCAAAAATATTATGGGAAAAATATTTCATAATTCAGGTTGTATACTTGTTTGATAAAAGAGACCAGGAAATCTTATGTATGGAAACAACTATCAAGGTGACACAAATGAACTCCCTAACACTACAAGGATTATACTTTTGGATTTCCATCATATCATATGGTGAATTGTGATTTGGAAATATAACTATGCATGAAGGGGTGCAGATATAAACTGGAATGACCCAATACTGTGTAATACTTTATTTTCACGTAATTTTATTTTTAAGCCATAATACAAAACAGTAAAAATCTAATATCAACACTTAATGTCTAAAAACTGTCTTTCCTATACTTTACATTGTGTCTAGATATAAATAAAACATATGTACACTTGTCAACAGATGTTGTGATAATATTCATGAAAAACGTATATAGAATATCATGGAAACAAAGTATGTATTGGTGGCAAAATACAGTGCTGCAGTGACCATTTTGGCAAATTGCTAGCCTTCCCCACATATATTTTGGCGCTATTTATTGTAATTGATGTTACTCAGTTGGGAGACAACTTCTTTCAGCATCTAAATTTGTAGAATATTTGTGCAATCTGGTTCTTAATTTCTGTGGCATTTCTATTGTGATTTTGTTTTCAAAGTCAGGAAAATCTTTATGCCGCCTGCCATCCACTACATCAAAAAGGCCATCATGTCTGTATGTTAAAATAAATTTCCTAACATCATCTACATAAGATTCTTTGGATGCTCTGTCCTGAAATATGAATGTCAATGACTTAGAAAAATAGGCTTGGTCCATCTAGAGCCCAGATTCCCGACCAATTGACTGGTACGTGCAACTTGAGAATCACTGTACTGTCCATGTGTGTGCTTCAAGTTATCTGAAAAAATATTAAAGCAAGTTTAGTGTGTGCTTTCTGTCTGCAGAAATACTTTTAACCAAATTGTATGTACATGTACACTGTAAAACGTGTCTTTTTAGCAAGCATGATATATTGGCTGATTTAGCTAAGCTGTTATGTAGTTAATGTAATTATACAGTTCATGATTCAATTGGGTTTATGGCTATTGAAAAGACATCTAAAGATGTATTTAACACATAAAAGACAAATACGGTATGTAGATAATTCAAAGTGTTGTATAGGATCTTTAGGGTGACAATTATATCTGGTGATATTAAAAAGCTGATTAGTATATTCATTGTTTAGGTTAATTTTAGAACTGTATGTTGGGCTAAAACAAAATGTACCTATACTTTGGTTGTGCTCCAAATAGCTCATTAATTGCTTGACCATGTATAATTATTCATTTCAAATTGCATTATGTATCCCATTTCATGCAAGATCTGTTAAGAGTTTAACTTTAGTCAGAGAGACTTACCTTTGAATTCATTATTTAGGAATTCATTTACCAAATCTAATGGAATATTATGTCCAGCTCCACCTGTCAAATTTGCAGTCCTGTTATACTTTAGTTCATGGCTAATTCTTTGTGTCATCCAACCATTTATGCCTATAAATGTGATTTTATATTGTCTTAATAACTTTGCATGTGTGGTTATTTATTTGCCCATGATGATTAACTGTAAAAACTAGCACCATAGTGCATGATCTCTAATAAGAAACCAATCTACTCTTAATCAGAGTATCTGTAAATCTTATTAATCTTGTTAATCATGTTATAATTATAGCAACATATCATTACCTGCCAATAATCTGTGCCCAAGTATAAGATACTTGTAGTGATTGTTTGACCAAAAATCAATCATATTGATTCTCCAGGTCCGCATCATTGCCTCACCATCATTTTCTCTTTCCGAATCTTTTTCACAGAAATACTTCAAACCTTTCCAGGTCAATGCAGTGGTGTACTCTGCAATGTGATCCTTTTTATCTGATGCTTCTTTATACTTGTAACAGGCAACTGAACAATACCAGTCATCAACTAGATAATAAAATTTTGTCAGATGAACAAAATGTAATAGCTGTGTGGCTGTCTGTTACAAGTTTGTCTATAGGTTAGCAAACATAATTAAAGTACAAATTTAAAACACTTCTTCATTTGAATGTAAGCAAGCAAATACACTGCAGCTACCAATTTATATTTACATAATGACAACAAGTTCTGAATCATACAGCTTATCTGTATTCTTAAATAAATATACATGAGAAGGTAATTATATAGTCTACAAAAGAAAGTGTCTATGGGCTTGATGAATGTATATATATTACCTGGCAACTCAACTAATCCTTTGCAGTCAACATGAAAACGTTCACCATTCAGACAGTTATTACCGGCCATACATTTAACAACTTCTATACCAGGTTGATACACCTTACAACAAAATGAAACACTTTTTTCACAGTCTGGTGAACACCACCACTCTTCATCTTCTCCTGGAAGGTTATCTTCTTCTAAATTTACACATTCAATGTGGTACCACCTTCCTAATGCACAACTTTTGCCAGCGGAACATTCAATCCAGGTTTCACAATCCACACCTTTTTTAAAACAAAAATTTAAACATAAATACTTGTGACACCTTACTTTGACATATACTAAAGATAATGAATAACATGAATAACCCAATACATAACCCCACAACACACTAGCAGTAGTACAAGCCCTTTAAAGCAGAGTGAAAAAAAAATCATTTTAAAAACATGATGTTGGTACACAAGTTTATTTTTTATATTTTATCTCACTTTTTGACTACTTTTAGCTTTGATGTTAATTTCTGAGTAAAAAAATGAAAATTAATCATTCACACTGTGACCAGAAACACTATAGTTATTATTATTTTTTTGTGCACTTGATGAAGATTACTAAGAAAATTATTAGTAAGTAAGCTTCATACAAATTCACTAGGTATAGAACCAAAAATTATTTTTTGGCAATTTCACGTTGGTTATAGTCCAATTTAACACACATACTGACTACCACCCGATATTGTTAGTGGCCAGGAGAAAAAATGAATTTGGAAATTTATAGAAAGTTTTGTGATTGAGAAAATTGTGACATAAATTTATAGAATACCTTCATCTGGGTCACATATGCAGAATACTCTTGCATCTTCTTCATCATCACTATCAGCAGCTTGTGAAATAGAACAAGTATCTATAACGGGCCACAAATGTGTAACTACATTCTTTGATACAGTCTGTAGGTATTGTTGTCTCAACTCTTTCCTTTCTTCACAAGGAGAATTTGCAGGTTTGTCATCAATATCATCTAATCCCAACAGTTTGATGCAAAGCAGTGACACCAATCCCTCAGTAGTGAATGTTAATAAATCTGTCACTTCATTCATGTATCCATTACTTTGGGTTTCACATTTTTGTGTTTAAAAACAGTCTTTAAATTG